CCCCAAAACCCCAAAACCCCAAAACCCCTTAAGGAATCTAATTATCTATTTTTGGAAGAAAAATATTTAAGTTTGTTTTTTAGTTTAATAAAATCTGATTAAGTTATAAACTGAGGGTCATCAATGCTTTATCTTCATTTTTTTGCAGGCCTTGTTCTTTCTTGAATTCCATCCTGAACCACCACACTTTTTACATACGCATCTACCGCAAGGCTTATTTTTGTGAGAGTTCCAGCCTGATCCACGACACTTATGACAATGAGGATTAACGATCTTATGAGGTTATGCAGAATGACCACCTTAAATGTGTACTTAGATGGATGGCATCTATTATTATGGGATGTAACCTGGTGGCATTTGATATCCTGGCTATTAGTAACCCATAGGAGGAGCATATCCTTGAGGAGGTTGCTAGTAACCCATTGGTTGTTGTTGGAAGCCCATAGGACGAGGCTATTAGAAACCTGGCTATTAATATCCTTGCATTGGAGGTTGCTAGTAGCCCATTGGTTGTTGTTGGAAGCCCATTGGTGGTTATTAGAATCCCATTGGTTGCTATTAATAACCCATCGGTGGTTATTAGAATCCCATTGGAGGCTATTGGAAGCCCATTGGTGGTTACTAGTAGCCTTAAACTCCTCCAGCCATTGGTGCTTAGAAGTTTGGAACTTGGCCAGCCCCTTAAGCTTATGAAGAATATCTAGATTATAGCCTAGAAATGAGTTATAAAGGGTTTGAATTCTTACAGAACAGAGCCTGCTTGTTTTTGTTTATAATTGATTGTGAACTATACAAGAAAATATTATACAAGAATAGTGTGCTTACCCATTCTCTAACTCCTCCATTAATGCATAAAGCAGATAATTTAATCATAGCCATTCCAATCTAAATGCAAAATCATAAATTAAGAGATCTACATACAAAATCATCAGTAGTAACATCCTCGTCCATAACTTTCAATGTTAAATCATCCTGGATAGAAGATACATGAAAACTGAACTCCTATAACATTATAAGTATTTGTCAATATGAATTCTATTGAAGACTAGTCAGAATTCTTACATGATTCCAGACGGGCAATTTGCCTGCTCCGTGATGAGTTCTTGTCTTATACTTGTTTCCATTATATTCAAGGATACAGAATGGATCCATCTTACTGCATAAAGAATTATAATGATTAATAATGTCAGTACCCAAAAGTTTCGGTGTCTCTGGAAAGTTTAGCCTCTACTACTGTCAACGTTAGTGTTCCTCCGTTTGATTGCATTTTATTTAGCCTAATTTAATTATTATCTCTAAAAGATATTTCCTGATATGGAAAGTTATCAACAGTGTAAAATTCACGGGGTTTTGGGGTTTTGGGGTTTTGGGG